CTCGATAGCATTGCTAGTTGGTGGTTACTGTTGGCATTTGCTATCACTCGTGCTCTACTTCCAAGCGCCTCCTTCTTTTGTAATGGAGTGAGTATGGCGAATTGGGTTTCGACACTGCATATGTAAATTAGATATTTCTGTCTATACACATATACATTTGGACCTTGTTGGGATTGTAGCAGATGCGCTTTTTCTGTACTATTGCTGCCTGTGCTAGATAACGTTAAATTTTTTTTTTTTTGTATTATCCAACCGTTTCTTTCAATACCATTTTGCTTTCCAGTGTTCACCCTGTGTTTTTATCCGTTGTAATTCACAAGTAATCCGTGCATAAACGTCTACTTCATATTCATGAAGTACAAAAAAAATTTTTTTTCTAAAGGGCTGTAGCCTCCGTCCACTCCAGAACAGGGTTTCCACAGTTCAAGTCCACTGCAGAGGGAAATCGACATTTCCTTTTCCTTGCAAAGAGCTGATTCATTCCGGAGTGGACTGGTGCGTGACACATCATTTCTCAGCATGCTTCAGTGTCAAACGGCTTGATTCATTTCATTGCCCTGATACCAGAGAGCTGATTCATTCATTAGCTTGATATCAGATAACTGATTTGTTGCGCGGTAGGCTGTTATTTATGTGATATAATAACCTCCATAATCTGTGCTATGCTTCTCGAGTTTTCTTGAGAAAAAGCTTGAAAACCCAGCGGTTGTCAAAGCTTCATCGTTGAAGCCAAATCCTCGCCCTTTTCAGACTGAAACTGCGATAACTGAGAAGGGATGAAGTTTTCGACGATTATGTCCATAACAATTACATAATACTGACTCGGAAAAAGGGAGTTTTGGTGCTGGATAATGAACGTATGAGACTTTAAAGACTGAAATTTTTTAAAAATGTACGAATGAGGTGGATCACTTAATGAAAATTAGTAATTCACGAAAATTGTTGATTGATTCGTAGTATAGAATTAGCGCTTTGTAAAAAAAAAATTCTTGACTTGCTGTGGAAAATCTTGTCTTTTTAGGTTTTTTGTTTTTGCTGCTGCCTAGTTAGGGATTATACGCACATACAACATATATACAATCATCCAACAAAACTTTTTTGGTAATCTATATGTGATCGCATAAAAACGTTCGCTTAATTTAGCGTGTTGTATCCGGAAAGTTGCCTATGCAAAGAAACAACTACTTACAGTGAAGGGAAGTAAGGATTTATAAAAGATGCTGTTGTGGGTCTATTAGATATACGGGCACGTCATTCAAAATTAGTAACAACACATGGGAGCAAATGTTTCGTTACAACTCATGATGCCGTTCTAGAATATCTCAAGTAGATGTATAAGATAAAATTTTGGCTTAACGAATTGTATTGCCTAGAATACTGGATTCTTAGGATTTCGAGACTGTAACTGAAATTTGACACCTCATGCATATAGCTACACGAATTTTAGATACCGTAGGTGAGACGCGGAGGAATGTGAAAATTTTTTCACACTTTTAAATTCAAACATAGCCGAGTGCCACTGTCCCAAGATTTCATCTTTGCTTTCAAATTACAGGATGACAGACGAAACTCATTCACACGTACACACGATCTTAACCCAGGCTGGAACGCACCGGACAGGCCCGTGCGATCATGCGTTTTTGCACAGGACTTGAAGTAC